TATATATATGAATGAATCATACAAAAAAAAGTAGATTAGTAAAGTTAATGATATAAAATGGCGAAATCCTTTCGCAAAGAAAATTTTTAGAGTTGCATTAACCTACAAATCACTCGATGAATGTTATATTCCTTGTTTTTAATAATTATAATCTGTATAAGGTCTTTTTTTTAATACGCAAGTACGTTCAACTGTACAATCAGTAATCCTCAGGCATGGAAATTATTTTGTTTTTAGTAAAATCCAGGTAGCATCCGAGACGGAAAAATTAAATGCGAATCGAAATATGTTTTTTTTAAATGTGTTATTGTTAACGGATACAAACTTTTGGAGCGTGCAGTCGCAACGCTAAGGTGGAAGTTTTTGAAAATTTAAGAAAAGCAAGAATATTATGTGGGCTGGCATTATTCCACAGGAAGAAGGTATCACCTAAATAGTTCAAGAATTGGAGCAGAATGGGCTGAAAGATAAAATGAATGCACAAGACGTGGTAAGATTCGCATCCAGAAATATCAAAGGTGAACGAGAATGTTAACTTCTTGCGTTTCCCACGGGCTGCTTTCATCATTGAACGGTAAGGAGCTCCACTCAGAATAACATTATTGTGACATCCGAGATAAATGTAGCGTAAGTGGACGTTTAACTTGAGTCAGTCAGTTATGTGCCATGCGTGATACACGCTTAGGCGATCATGTATCTTTCGAGGCAGATTTTTTTTCCCGCAGTAGGCTGCCATTTCTTTCCGCGGTAGTCTATAGGACCCGGTCTGCCCTGCTATTTACTCACAGGTGGAGAAGAGGATTCATACCTTTGCCAAGGGTATTAGCACGTAAGTGAATGTAATGGATTTGACAGGAATTCGAACTCGGCTCTCTGATTCCTCAATCCAAGCTGCTATCCCATACTCCATCGTGTCATCTCTCTCTCTCTCTCTCTCTCTCTCTCTCTCTCTCTCATATATATATATATATATATATATATATATATATATATATAAGGAAAGGTTCATCCTGTACTCAAGGCAGAAGGTTACGTTAAGCCGTAGTTTATATGGATAGTGGGGTAGATAACAGTTAACTCTAGTCTTGAACAGGTTAAGATTGTAGTGATTAGAGAAACATGTTCCTGTGAGTCGGAATACGGAGGATATGTGTGTGGCTGGCCACAATGTAAGTGACATGGTGGGTCCTATCTGTGAAGGTTAGACCTGGCGGAACAAAGGAATGTTGTTCGTCCGAGCGATTTCCATGGAATTAGCGATCGATCAGTGTGAAGCTTGCCACACCCCGCCTGTGAGAGAGAGGTTGCAGGGTGGAAAATAATTCGTCACCCACAAGGAATTTGAGAAGCTCCCACCCATATATGTATCGCCTAATTTAAAACTATATTTTTATCATATATATATATATATATATATATATATATATATATATATATATATATATATGTGAACATTGAAGTCAACACTCAGACGCGACAAGGTGTTTCCTTCTAGACGCGATCGTCTGACCTCACGTCTAGCATGAAACAGCCTGTCGTCTCTGAGTGCTGACTTCAATGTCCACTTTTATATTTATATTTACATACGCTCTGTCTCTGATTTTGAGCACTTTACCCCAAAAATATAGCACATCTTAAAACTATATTTCTTCATATATATATATATAATAATAATAATAATAATAATAATAATAATAATAATAATAAAAATAATAATCTTATAAATATAAGTTAGTATACTCGTCCGGAAAAAAATAGGTGTTTGGGCCTGTAAATGAACAAACTAATACCCAAGGAAAACTAAGGAATAAAAAAGAAATAACTAAGAACATGTAATTCAAGCGAAAGCAATCGACTAGAATTCAAGCTCAGAGTCCAAAGGAAAAGAAAAACTCCGACACGAGTAAAGTAAAAATAACTAAGCATATTGCTCAATAAATTAAGTAGAGAAAATCTTACTAAGAACCTAAAGAGCCAGGTAAACCTACCAAGGTTTCACCTACGCGGATCGTCAGGGCACGCCGGCGTACCCTGATGATCCGCGTAGGTGAAACGTATGTAGGTTTGCCGGCACACCCTGACGATCCGCGCAGGTGAAACCTAGTCAGTTCCGCCTAGGTTTTTAGGTTTTAGGTTATATATATATATATATATATATATATATATATATATATATATATATATACACGATAAAAAAAACTACATCCCCACAGTAATACTTGCAGCGGCGTACTTAGGTGTTATAAATACAGTGCCCAATGTTACGAAACAGAACTATTACTATATATTTTAGTTAATATGCATAATATTCAACGTCGATAGCATGAATCAGAGTTTCATGCAGTTCACAAAATCTTCAGGTGCGTAGATATTCTGATCGTTATATTATCCGCGTTCTTGTGCTGATGATTCAAAATTGTGTGTTAAAACTTGTTATTTTATTATTGTTGCGTAAAATATTAGAATTCAGTATTAAGAATTTAGATTCAAATTCATAAATTTGAAGAAGGAAGAATTAAAAAAAAATGAAATCATTTAAATCTGAATTTGAGTTGGAGCGAGAACAAAGATGAGTGATAGAAGAAAGGATGAAGAGACGGTAAGATGATATATCAAGGCATCTGGAGACGTCGATTGACATTACATTTGAATAGTTGGAGATTATAGTTATCAGGAAAACAAGAAATGGGGAGGGAGTTCCACAGGAGAGAAGTGCGTGGCATGGAGCTATTGGTGTAGAAGAGACGGCTAAATTTAACAGTTTCGACAGTGAAAGGGTGAGAGCGAGATGCCAGCCTAGTTGAGGGTTTAAATTCACGAAGTCTGGGAACCAGCGAAAGCAGGTCACCGGACCTGTTACTGTGAAAGTATTTGTAAAAAAGACAGAAGGAGGCAACGGCACGTCTGTGAGAGATCGGCTGCAGACGAGATGCCAATTACATTGCATATCCGTCTTTGGATTTTATCAAGGACCTTGAGACAATTAGAAGGGGCTCCAGACCATATATGGCACCAATACTCCATGCAAGGGCGAATGGTTGATTTATAGATTTGAAGGATCGACTTCGGTGAGAAAAATTTTACTGGCGCGGCATAGGGAGCCAAATTTCCTAGCGGTGGACGAAGCTATTGACTCAATGTATTCGTTCCATCTCAGGTCAGCGGACAATGTATGACCGATGTAGTCGCAAAGAGATGCTCTCGTGGAGTTGAGCGTCAGACATTCTAATGGGAGGTAGGGATGGTTCTCTCTGGTGAGTAATAGAGAGCAGTTTTGTTTTTGAGGCATTAAAGTTAACCAGCCAATACCTGCCCCAATCCACAACCGATTGGAGGTCCTTTTCAAGACAAACGGCCAGGTTAGTTTTGTCAGCGACACTAGAGTTGTTTTTGAGGTAGGAGTAAATAGTAGTGTCTCCCGCATAGATGCCTACTTGGGAAGCTATGACATCAGGGAGATCGTTAATGAAAATAAGAAACAGAGTAGGGTCTAGGATAGAGCTTTGGGGAACACCTGCGTTCGTAGAATAGGAGTTGGAGGAGAATCCGTTGAGAACGACCTTCAATGTACTGTTCGACAGGAATGATTGTATTAAGTCAAACAATCGACCTGTAATTCCATAACCCGTAAGCTTGCGAAGAAGGCCGGCATGCCAAACCCTATCAAATGCTTTGGGTATATCAAGAGCCACGGAAAGCTGCTCCGTTATTATGAAGTGCTTGGTAAACAATTTCAGTTATGGCCGTTAGCACATCAGCTGTAGAACGGGCAAAGCGGAAACCATATTTATTGCCGGGGAGCAGATTATGGGATGAAGGTGCATAATCACTTCAGCGTTGATTAAAGCTTCAAAGACTTTACCGAAGAAGGGTAGGAGACTGATAGGATGGTAATTAGAAGGGCCAGAAGGGTCTCCAGAGTTCTTAAAGACAGAAAGAACGGAAGAGGACTTCCAACAGGGTGGAAAACAAGATTCATTGAGGCTGTAGTTATATAATTGAGAGGGTAAGGGACAGTTCAGGTTCACATTTCTTCAGGTGGTATTCTATCTCCACCACCAGCCTTGTGAGGGTCTAATTTAGAGATGATGCCCAGATGCAATGAGGAGGGTTATGTGCAAGTCGGTCAAGTGAGCCTCAGTTCGAAGTGGGAAATCGGGTATGGATACACCTGAAGAGTCGAGCGTTGAATTAAATGAAAATTTCCGAGCGATGCATGCAGCCTTGTCGACAGAAGAGGTCAGAACCTCAAACCGGTTTAATAAAGGAGGTATAGAGGGTTTTCTATTGTTAAGTACACTCTGGCAGAGACACCAATAATCCTTGGAGCCGAATTTGCGAGATGCAATACGTTCTTTTATTCGAGCAGCATATAGACACTTTGCTTAATTGAGGACACGCTTATACTCGTTACGGGCAGAGACAAAGAGACGTCTATTGCAATCAGACATGTCGCTACGATATATGTGGAAAAGTGATTCCTTAGGTCAATGGCAGCTGAGCAAGCAGCGGAGAACCAGGTAGAGGAGCACGAATGACCTTATATTTCCTTGAGGGGATGAAAGCCTCGATTCCTGCTTTAACCCAGGAGAAGACCTCGGAAGCACATTCTTGAACAAGCACGGGCAACGCCGGGCCATTCAACATCATCACTTGATAAGACACCAAACGACATTCAACATTCATTTCCCAAAATCTGTCCAAATATCAAAATGTTAGAAATTGTGAGGATTCCCTTCATAGCTGAACCAAAACATTTTATCGCAGCCGCAAACACCGACACGGGTACACATACACGTACTCGTACTCATACGCGCACATACCTCGTATCACGGCTTCCAAAGCATTTCCACCGCCTTAATGTACTTTACCTGTACCTTTTCGACATATTTTAATGATAATTTTTCAGATGAGCTTTTCTCTTTGATATCTCGAAATCACGCATTTAATTGTAGTACTAGATTGGCAGATAGGTCTTATAATTACAACGGGGCGAGTAGATTTTTGTTATCTATCTATCTATCTGTTTATGAGTTTGGCCATATCTATCTATCTATCTATCTATCTATCTATCTATCTATCTATCTGTTTGTCCATATTTATCTATGTATGTATGTATGTATGTATCTATCTATCTATCTATCTATATATATATATATGAGTTTGTCCACATCTATCTATCTATCTATCTATCTATCTATCTATCTATCTATCTATCTATCTATCTATCTCTGTGTGTGCGTGTTTGTTTGTGTCATTCTAGCTGCATAATTCACCCCAGACAAGGCGACAATTCCACTAAGATACAAGGGTTTTACTGGGAGTGAAATCGAATGAAAAATACTCCAGAAGGAACGGGAAACCCAATCTTTAAAAAGGAATAAGCCACTGTTCCTGTTCAGAAGACCGGGAGTCCGATCTCGAACGATAGGCTAACCTATCTACTCCTATTAAATTGATACAACTTGCGATATTGAATATATTGCCTGACACGTCTTTCATAGAGAGACATTATTCAAATTATTTTCTCGGCTCTCATTGCGAGTATTTAAAAAATATCATTGATAGCAGAGCAATGAAGAAAATAAACAGAAATGAATATCAATCTAATGACAATAATGCAAGCGTTTCACTTAAGCTGTCAAATATAGCTGGTAGCGTATGAAATTGTCGTGTCTATTTTTTGGGGGGAAGTCTTCTCCACTTAGTCAAATTACTTGCTCAAATATATACATATATACATACATACAAAAGTAAAAAAAAAAAAAAAAAAAAAATCAGATACAATTAAAATTATAAATATACTATCATAAACAACCCAAGATAAATTGGTGCATATCTATCTATCTATCTATCTATCTATCTATCTATCTATCTATTGCGGTCTTTTCATATCCATCAATCCTTCTGTATATTTCTGGTCATATCTATCTATCTAAAAAATTCTTTACAATTAGAAGTATTAACAAACTCTCACAAACAACCCAAGATAATTTGATGTATATTCATTCTATCATTCTATCTATCTATCTATCTATCTATCTATCTATCTATCTATGTCGCGCATATATGTAATTAGGCTTATAATATTTATTATTCATAGGACGTGAACAGTCTGTGCATGTTTATATAAAAGTGCAGTTTGTTTTCCTGTGCAGAATTGTGGGTAAACTTGCATACATACGTTTTCTTGCGTTGTTACTTTCGTTCACCCTGGCGAGCGAACGTAACAAGCAATGCTGTCAAGTTCAGGTTTGAAATTAATGTTAAATCATATCTAATCTTAAACATTGGCTCTAACAGCCGGTCAGTCCATTATACGAAGCGAATAAAAAAAAACGAACACAATCTACCTTACACGTCTCCATTTCTAGACAAGCAAACTTTTGTAATGAAATTATGCACCCAGTTACGACGAGATTGCTGCACAGGTGCACGGTGAAATTACGAAGAAAATCAACGTAAATCAATTATAAAATTGAACAGAAGAAATGAATGGAAAATAAAGAAGAAAAGAACGAAAAAGAAAGAAGCTTTGATGTTTAAGTAATTACAACCAAGCGTGTCGAGACTTGGTGGGTTGTCTTCTCTTGGCTGGATGTTAAGTACAACCTGAAGAAACATGCCTTCTATGGAGAAAAATAATCGCACTATGAAATTTGATTATGTAATGCATTATGTATCGGATAGGGAATATTATACAAACATATCAAAACTTTTATTATACCAATGAGGACAGTTTATTAGAACCACTGCCATAAAAATATTTATAGAAAAGACAGAAGGAGTCCTCGTCACGGTGATGGGAAAGCAACTGAAATCGAAATGCCACTTCAGGATCGATAACATTATAGACGCTTCTTTGGATTTTGAAAAATTGGAGATATATTAACAGAGACCCACGCCAGATATAGCAGTTAAAGAAGAATGGTAGATTTATAAATGTACAAGATTTATTTATACGAGAAAAACTGCCTGGCACGATAGAGTAAACCAAACTCCATTGCAACAGACTTAGCAATTGATTCAATATAATCACTCTCCTTCAAGCCAGAAGAAAACGTGAGATCAAGAAGGTACACTGAGTTTGTATTCTAGAGGTTAGCATCAGCCATGCTGATGAAAGGCAAAAAACGATTCTCTAAATTGATTAGAAGATAGTAGTTTCGTTCTGGAGGCGTAAAAATTTAAAAGCCATTTCTTCCTTATGAGAAAGCATTCGTTATTCATTGACCGCACAGCCAGTGCCATTGTCGAATGAAATTTATAAAATCCTTAACTTAAAACAGTTTTTAATGAAACTACGTTTCAGAAGTCCACTTTTATCGCTACTGCCGGTATTGATGGCGGCTTCCTTCCTAGCTTTTTGTTTCAAGTAATGAAGAACATCAAGATTTTGATTATGTCGATTCACTTCGAGTTTCATCTGACATCCATTTTAGTTGCTGATACTGTTGAAAGTTGCGCAAAGTATTAAGGAACATGAATATTCCTCTGGAAATAAACTGAAAGAAAACTGTAGTAAACTGTAGGTCCGGCTAAATGGTAGCAACTGCTAGACAAGAGTCTTGAAGCAACAGAAATGTGATTTTGCTGGGATGATGGGGATAACATCGACTGAACATGTGAGCAACGACGAAGTTTTAGAGAAAATGGAAACAAAATGGATACAGATTTTATATCAGTGAGGACTAGTTGAAATTTCTAGAGCACGTAATAAGCAAAGAGTGCTTAGAAAATATGGCACTCAAAGGACATATTAAATACTCGGGAGACAGAGAAAATCAGTAACATACCTAACGAGTTTGTTTAAATGGTTAGAAAAAAAGATTAGGAGAGACAGCCAAAAGCAAAAATTATTAAGAAGAAGAAGAAGAAGAAGAAGAAGAAGAAGAAGAAGAAGAACGACGTGGTTTCTGTTATTTGGCACAGTAGTTTGTGCTTATGTAACGTCGGTCCACAAGCTTCGAAAATGGATATAAAGAAAATACAAGAGAAAAAAATCCACACACTAGAATTTTAGATGAGTTTGAGTGGGTATATGAAAAGATAATTGTTGTGGTGTCCTCCCTCTAAAGAGTCTATGTTGGACTCTTCCGTCTACTATAAGATCAGCAGGAGAGAACGCCTTTGGGGAGCAGTCGACCAGACTGTTCATTTCTGTTGAACTCTCTGCCTCGAGCAGAGAGGAATCCGGACAAAGCTTTGCCGCAGGGCAAAGTCTCGTCCGGGGAGGTAGACAGGCCCTGAACCCGTTTATACGGGTTCAAAGGGAATATTTTTGGCCGATCTTACAGGCTCGGACACCCATGGTAAACTCGGCCTTGTGCCACATACATCCCTCATGGGGGATGCTGTTAAATATTAGCAGTCGCTAAGATTCTTCAACATTCGAACTCTCTGCCTCGGCAGAGAGAAACCCTGCCGAGGCTTTGCCACATGTCAAAGTTTCGTCCGTGGAGGTAGACAGGCATTGAACCCGTTAATACGGATTCTAAGGGAATATTTTTGGTGGAGCCTACGGGCTAGGAGAAACCACGGTAAACTCGGTCTGGTCTCACATACATCTCTCGTGGGCAGGTGGGGGGGTTAGATATTAACAGTCGCATAAATTGTTCATCTGTCGAACTCTCTGCCGCGAGCAGAGGAATCCGAACGAGGCTGTGCTGCAGGTCAAAGTTTCGTCCGAGGGGGTAGACATGCCTTGAACCCTCTTATACGGGTTCAAAGGGAACATTTTTAGCCGAGCCTACGGCCTCTCAGAACCCACGGTAAACTCGGCCTTGTACCACATACATCCCTTGTGGTGGGGCTGTTAAATATTATCAGTCGACCAGAATGTTCATGTGTCGAACTCTCTGCCTCGAGCAAAGCAACATTTCGTCCAGATAGGTAGATAGACCCTGAACCCGTTTATAAGGGCTCTGAGAAGCCACGGTAAACTCGGCCCTCAGCCACATACATCCCTCGTGGGGGTGGCTGGGGCTGTTAAATATAACAGTCGAATAGATTGTTCTACCGGGCTGTGACTGTTCGCAGCTTTGGGCAGAGCGGAATCCGGACAAGGGTTTGCCGAAGGGCAAAGTTTCTTCCGGGGAGGTAGACAGACCCGGAACCGCTTATGCGGCTTCTACGGGAATATTTTTGGCCGAGCATACGGGCCATACTCGGCCTTGTACCACATACATCCCTCGTGGGTGGGGCTGTTAAATATTAACAGTCGAATAGATCTGTTCGGCTTTGCTGGGCAAACTCTCTGCTTGGGGTCAGAGAGGATCCCCAGACGAGACTATGTCGAAGGCAGAGACTCGTCTCGAGAAACAGCTAGTTAACCCGTTTTTTACGGAATCTATGGGTGATTTTTGACAAGACTACGGGCTCGGATTGCCTCACATTAAACTCGGCGTTGTGCCACATACTACCTCGTGGGGAGGCTGTTAAATATTACATTCGATTAGATTGAATGCTGGGTCAACCGAAAGACACTTACTAGTCGTGTAATACTCTTCTGTTGTACTTACTGTTTAATATATGATATATCTGTAACATTTGTTTTGTTATTTCTTTAACCATTTACTTGGTCACAACAATAACGGAAAGCCACAAATTAATGCTTTTCGTGGGAGGAACTAATGGAATGATACATATTTTGTTATTACTGCAAAGAGAGATAGGAATTTAGAAACACGAGAAATCTATTTTCCTGAGAAATTATTTTAATGGAAAGATTTTAAATATTTCAACGGACTGTAGCATTGGCTTCTCGATCAGTGAAATCTTAAGCTTCCTTAGACGGCGAATATTAACATTAAAATTTCTAAATATAAGGTTGAAGAAGGCTCAGCATTGACACAAATCAACACTGATAGTCTCCTGTGTATTCTATATACAGATTGTGCACAAAATGGAGTATCGCCTGGTCTAAATATTGTCCAAGGCGGGAAACTGTGTGACAGATTGAATTATTCATTTCTATGACCGCATTTTTTATATCTGTCTCCAGAAAAAAATTCTTTGAAAAGAACGATTTTATAAATGTCAATAAAAGTAGCACTGGCTGCTCGGTCAATGAACGACGAACATTTCCTTATAAAGGCACTGTTAATATTATCCGTGCCATATGGTAACAATGAGCCAAAATTCTGACCCAAGTATTTTTATTTCTGATGTGCTCCGTCCACCTCCATTTTCATCACTCAATAATAATAATAATAATTAGAAGAAGATGATGAATAAGAAAAAGGAGAAGTAGAAGAAGAGTAGTCTATATTTATTCTGAAAAAGAAAAAAAGTTAAAAATTTTATTAAATTTAACCGACAGGGTATTTTTCTTTAATTTTTATGCTATTACTCCAATTTTCGAATAAGTTGTGGAATATGCAATTACAAATAAACTACCCAAAATTCATGTTTTTGTCAGGTTTCTTATAGTTCTTTCGGTAGTCTTGGGCATTATAAAAAGCTAAATATTGTCTGAATCATAATCAAAGTATTGTTTAATACTTCCTTGCATTCTTAGAATTTTACATTTCAAATTTAAATATACGTTTATCGTATAATTGACACCACATATTTAACTATTTTACATAGTTTAACAGCAACATAAAATAAACGTTATCAACTCTTTTTTACGCGTTATAATTAATTTATGCTCATTTGGAATATATTTGAAAATATGTTATACTGTATTGAAATGCAGTTTATTTAAGTGGTATGATGATAGCTTCGTGTATTTTAAGTAGTACTTTACGGAGGTAACTATATAGTGTTTTGCTATTATTTAATAAGGTCCGTTTTATTGTCATATAAGAATAAAGTGTTGTTGTCAACACTGGTTTGAACATAGATCGACAGTGAGCAAACGCGGGCGACACCATTTTGAATAAGTAGATCACGTGATCGCAAAAGAAACTGCATATATGGGAATTAGCGTGACGTCTAATGGATCACCATTTCTAGTCTATCCTCTATTACTAAACGGTTCGCTATTCTCTATACTATTCACTATACTATTTCTCAATTCGGACAACTATTCGGTGGTTACTATTAGTGCAAGATTATTCGAAGGCGTCTGA